CTATGATGGTTCAATCATTTGATATGAAAAAAGATCTATTTTGTCCACATGAAGATGGAGAAAATGTTTTTTTTTATCTTGAAGTACCACATCTTAATGCAATCGGAGCATTGACCTATCTTGCAAAATGCACTCGATATGATATAGTTTTTTTTGTAAATCTCTTTACAAGGTATAACTCTATACCAACTCAAAGATATTGGAATTATATTAAACATATTTTTCGTGACCTGAAACATACTATTGATTTAGGATTATTTTATTCTCAAACGGGGCCTACTTTTGAAAGATATGTAGATACATGCTATCTCTCCGATCTACATAAAGTTAAATTATAAATAGGGTATGTGTTTATATGTGGAAAAACGGCTATATTATGGAGATTTGTAAAACAATCATTGATATCAACCCTCTCAAATCATTTTAAAATTATTGTAATCTATGCAGTAGGTCAAGAATGTGTATAGTTGAAGAACGTGACTTATCATATCTAAACATCATGTGGATTAACTTCAATATAAGTTAGTTCAACAATTTTGTATAAAAACAATATAATTTGTATTGGACAACTCAAAAGAGATTATATCAAATGTGACAGGACAATGCATATTTCTCCAAAATCCTTTCATACAAATGAGTCTCAAAAGAATGACAATATCGATATTCAACAAATTCACTCAAGTGATAATATGGGTGATTTATTCAAAAAAAACATTGTCGACATTTACATTCAAAAATTTAATACACGAAATTGGAATGCGTTGACTCAAAAATCTTTAGTAATTTTCATCAGGGAGAGTAGCTGTACTATTTTTCATTGTCTAAGTTTTGTCCATCGGGTTTTCAAAGCAAAGTTATAATGAGACAGTATTTTCTTTATACTCTAAAATATTGACAATTAACTAACACTTTTTTCCTTTATTTACTTTTCACTAGATTTTTATCGAAAACAAGGCTTTTAATGAGATAGTTATTGTACAAATGATGATCAAGAGGGAGTGTTATAAAATAATGAGATAATTATTTAATATTATCAAGATACATATATAAGTCTTATTTAATCTAAGAGATCTATTTCATTTTATTGTAACTCTCATTTTTAATCCTATAAATCCGGGTCTTAATTTTCAATAAAAGAAGACACTTTAATTTTGACTCCTATTTTTTTTTTTATCCTTCTCTCTATTCATAATAATTTTAAATTGATTATTCAAAAGTGTTAATAAATGATTAGTTACATAGAGTTTTTGTTGCAGCCATTTCTAATACTAGTCGCTGTAACGTGCGTTGCACGAATTTTATATTTATTATATTTTTATTAGTGTATGAATTTTAGTTTTTTGGAAACCTTTTGAAACAATATCTAAAATATACAAACCATTTTACCTGTAATCTTTGATATTATTGATATGATTAAGTTGAATATGAAGATTATATTTATAAATTTTGTGTAATTCAATATTGAAAAATTGAAGATTGAGCACAAAATTATAAATCGACTTGCATATTCATACATATATTTTAATATATATTTTATGCTTATGTTGAAAAAATAAAAATCTAAAATTTTTTTTTGACATTCAGTTTGATAAGTAAATGTATTGTGTTGTGCATTCTCGATATTTGTAAGTGCAAAAATAAAATACGGAAGGTGCAAATACGATAGGCAACATATACGGTAAGCTGTAAATACGATAAGTTGTGTGCAAATACGGTAACCCGCAAATACGGTAGGTTTGTAGCATATACGGTAAGTTGCAAATATAGTAAGCGACGGTAAGTTGCATATACGGAGTTATATTTTTTTATGAATGTATAAAATTTATTTAGAATTTCTTACAATATTGTTTCCTTTTTTATAATTGTATTTTCGAGAATTAAAAAAAAAAAGATGGTTATAAAATTGTTAATTTGTAAATGTGTTTTTTTTGTTGAAAATAAAATGCTATTTGTAAAAAAAAAAAAAAAAATTATTGTAATTTTATTAGCGTAATAAGAAGATTTATTATAATTATTCAAAAAAAATTTAATACCACACAATAAATCCATACTTTTAATCTAGTGACTGCAAAGTCTTTTGTGTATCAATAATGCATTTCCAATTCAAATAAGAAATTTTGGCATCACTCTTTCTTTCTCTTTTTTTTCACAGGTTTTACTCGTCTTCTTCATATGTTTAGATGCTTTTGTTAGTTGTTTTGTTGTTAGCAATTAGCAATGATGATTTCTTTGAGAGTTTTTTTGGTATTATATTGGAATTAAACTTATTCCTATAATTATATTTTTTTTATTATATTTAATGCATATTTTTCACTAATAAAATAACAAATTAAACAACAAATATTAGGTTGCATGATTAAATTATACAAAAAAAGTCGCTGGCGCAATTTCGAAACTCTGCACGGATGTGTGCGGACTCTTTGCACATTGTGCGAACACTTTGCATAGAATGTACAGAGTGTCCGCACATTGTGCAGAGAATGTACGGACACTCCGCACATTTCGTGCGGACACCAATCCGCACCAAGTGTTCGCAATGTGCGGACCGTCCGCACATTGTGCTGAGACTTCGCACAATCTATGCGAAGTCTCTGCACATTGGACTCCCCGTACATTTAGAGATGTGAATGCACAACATGTTTATCAGAAGTGAGATGAAAAACTAAAACAAATACAAGCATAAAAAACATATAGAATTGGAAAGTATTGCTAAATTTAAACCTCTTAAATTGAAGATCCTTAAACGTCAATCAGTAGAATAATGTTGCATTTCATGCATCAGATTTTTTTAGTTGAGGATTCTTCATACACATTTGCTTTTTCTTTCTTTCGCAAGCTCGCCTATTCTTAACCCAATCACCAATATTTTTTTTTGAAATAATAGGATTATGTGGCGATAAGGTGGACACTATATATAGAATTTCTGCATTGTTTGGACTTTTATTTCCTCCATCAAATATGCACTCGAAGAAAATTAACCTCCGTAGATGTAGGTACCCAAAGTTGTCTTCACATAACCATTTTGCTGACAATAAGCGGAACAACTAAAAAAAAAAGAGAATAACTCGTTGAAAGCTCGAAGATGAAATTTGACAGCAGTATAAAAGAAGAGATCAGGAATGTGGGTCAAAGAAAAACACAAAAGAAAATCCTAAATGCCACGACACCAAAACGAAAATAAAATGAAAATGAAGATATCAATCAATTTTGTAGTTGAAAATAAGGAGTATGGTTGTGAGCATAAGGAGTATAGTTAGTATGATTGTCAGCATGATCGTAAGTATGGACGAGGCAATAAATAAAAAAGGAAGGGAAAAAAATAAACATAAACAATGAAATGATATTACTTTACTGTTCCCTCTACAGTGCCATTTCATTCCCCTTTTTAATAGAAGTTAGATATATAATCATAACTTCCTTTTTTTCTCAAACTAAAAGTAATTTAATACGGTAATTTAATAACAAAATTGATAGTTAAATGCACATATGAAGTCTATTCATAACAACAAATGATGCATGTATGAATTGAAAATCCATGATAATAGTTAAAATGTCCACAATCTTTTGTTTCTCACCAAAAGAAAGGCAAAATAAAGGTTACACAACTCTTACCTAGTCACTAGAAAATGCCTCGAGCCAATGTTCGAGCACTAGGCGCTACGACGCTGAAGTAAGCCCTTTCCCCTTTCTCTAATAATAAGGTAAGGCTATGAAGTATCTTAGAGTATTCCATTCCGTTCTAGAGAAAGGCCATATAAAGGCAGTTACTATCGCTTTTACCCAATTACAATTTTACACCTTAAACACCGTCAATTAAAAGGCATTTGAAGGCGTAAAGATAAATAACAAAAGTGATAGTTTAATAAATTATCATTAGTCAATCATTCTCAGTACTTTACACTTTGAAGTCAATTCAATATATTAAACATCAGTCATAATCATGTTGTCCACATCCTTATTTTTCTTCTGTTTACATTAGTCACAAAGTTTTAGAATGGATAGAATATATTTAAAATAAAAGTATAATTGATTGAGTGAAACTACAATATTTGAGATGGTAATATAATTTATGATTTTTAAACTTATCGTTTTTTTGAAATTTTTGAAAGTATATACGAAAGTCCTATAAATCTATTAAGTATGACTTGTCTACTTGAAAGTTGAAATTATAAAAAATGGTTTAGTTTTTGTATTTCGAAAACTTGAATATTGTATAATTGATTAATTGTAAGAATTATTAAGCAAATATATATAATATTTTATCATTTTAGATGTTTGTTATGTATTTTTTTCAATTATTAAATGGTTTTTAGAATGATAAAAAATGTAAAATAATATTAAAAATAAGAAAACATTTTTTAACGTCTTAAAGCTTGGCCTCAGGGGCGGCATATATAGGATGATACACTAAAAAAAAAAAATTCTATTAAAAATAGAAATTTTATTTTTCCCTCTCAAAAAATTATTGGGTTTGGGAACATGTCTAGGTTAAATGTGTAAATGTGGAGCTTTAAAATGCACCACAAAAATCTCTCTTTCATGTCTTTTTATTTTTTTTCACAGTAATCGCTCAATCTAAATTGAAACAATTTTTTCCACCATTCTCTAATTTTTTAGGGTTATGCTACATAAACAGGGTTGGCGACATGGTGACTTATGTTGATCACTGATTGGACAATTTGACCAAAAAGAAAACCCAAACAGACGTTGATATGTAGGCTCTTGTCACCTCTCTCCTGCCATGAACCCTAGCCAAACACCTTTACTCAATTTTTTAACGATACTCCCACTAAATTCTAGAATAGTGTGAAAGAAGAGGAGAGATTGCTGTGCAGCTGGTCAGATTGTTGGTTCAAAATGTATCTCTACTAACATCACTTCTAGGCTCAATCACTTTAAAACATATTGGGTCCTCAATTGAAATTTAGTTGGGCTGAAGATTAAAAATTAAAGCCCAATATCAATGTCCTTTAACAAAAACCCTAATTGTTATCAAAATTCTAGCGTCCGCCCTCATTCCCGATCCATCTGTTATTTGAAGCTTCAAATTGTAAACCCTAGATCCAATACAATTTCAGACGTTAAAAAATTTGTACCGCCTTATTGAATTCTTTCAGTTTTGTAATTGTATTTCAATTTCTCCTTCAAATTTTAGCTAATCATGTTGAAAATAATGACCCCGAAGAAAGGAAGAATCAAGCGAAACCTAGAGAAACGTGCCCCTAAACTAGTAAATCTGCGGTTTCTTTTAATTTAGATAATAATGAAGTTGTCAATTTTATTTATTTATTTATTTCAATTTTTATATGATATGAAGTTATTAATTTATTTATATTTTTCAATTTGTGCCTGATAAATTGAAGTTTGAGTTTTTCAGGTGGAGACTGGGAAGAAGACGTTAATCCTACACGGCACAAAAACTAGCAGTGTGTTGAATTCGGTACTGACTGAAATATATCATCTGAAGAAAGAAAATGCGGTCAAGTATTCGCGGAGAAATGACAACATTAGACCATTCGAGAGTGGTGGTGAAAGTTCTCTGGAATTTTTTTCACTTAAAACAGACTGCAGTTTGTTTGTGGTACGTGAAAACAGTTCAGCACCTATTTTCCAATTTTTTTTTCCGGGTTTGCGGTGTTGATGGCATTTTTTCCTTTAATTCTTGGAAGTCTTTGTTTTGAAGTAATTGAAAAAGTGTGTGTTGGTTCCTGTGCGGAAAGGTTTGTTGTGTGGTTAGAGAGTATTAATACTCTTATGTTTGGTAGAATTTCTGCTTAATGCAAGGCTGACGACGAATTGATAGAAGATATTTCCTTTTTTTTAATCACAATATCTTTCGAGCATACGCCTATGGTCCTTTTTTTCTTCTTCTAAAATTCATGTTTAAGACTGTATTATGTTATTAAAAGGGTTGATTTTGATTACTGTTCTTGGACTGTCTATCTAAAAGACAATTTGGCAAATTAAAACGACAGGCTTAAATAGTGTGGTGAAATTTTGGGACGAATATTACATGTTGATTTTGATTGAGTTGGTCTATTTTTGCCCTTGCTTCAGTCTGTTTGACTTTAGAGGTTAAAAATGTGCCCCAAGACTTTAGAGGACTTTATTATGATGACATTTCACTTTGGTCAACTTTATTTTGTCCCGAAGAAATAAGCACAGTGTTCTGATGACTCCTAGAGAACTTGATTTGCCTAGGGAGACAGTAAAATTCCTTTGTTTGCGGCTAGCGAACTATTTAGTGGATGGTTGGTAGGTAAAAACTCCATTAGCAACTGAATTATAGTTTTGTTTTACCATGTCATGAAACTTTTTCACATTCCAAATTAGTCTTGAACTTCATTTTTGTTTCAGTCTATTTCTGTCCATCCCATCTTGGTGTTTTGGTTAACTGGAAATTTGATATGGCCTTTAAAATCTGTTAACCCATTATGTTTAGTTCAGTTGGGCAAGTTAAAAACCTCTTTTGATTACCAAATTTATAATTCTGTTTCAGTTTGGTCACCAATTTCATTTTTTCTTTTTAACATTTCAAATTAACCACTTTGGTCAAGGTTATTGAATTGCAAGTCCAGACCACCGAGTATATTATTTGATTGTTTCTTTCCAAGACCCAACCGCCAAGTATATTATCTGATATTTTTTTTAAGCATTCTTATAATAGTGTGGTGGGTGAAACTATTTTAGATCCCTCCGTTGATACTACTAGCGAGAACAATTATGTTATAACATAGAGCCGATACATTTACATTCCAATGTAAAGTAAGTCTAATAACCATAAGATAGGTCACCATTACAAGGTATTCATAGTGCACACTAGTTCGTTTATTGGATTTTATTTAGCACCACTTTCTATGAGTTATAATTTTGAGATATTTCCGAAGTTCTTACAGACTGACACTTACATTTAGGCATGTCAGCCAAAAGATTCTTAGTTTCTTAATTGACATAAATTTTGTATTTAAGGTAGTGCACTCCAATTTGTCTTGTTTTGTTTTCTCTTTGATCCTAGAAAAATGTCATTTTTGTGGCTGCCTGGTGGGCATGTATGCATGCATTCAATAACAGATTAGTATAATTATCTAATTTTGATGGACATTTATCGGATTATATATACACACACACACACACACACACACACACACACATATATTTTGATGATCATGGGTGTCCGGACCAGCTCACACGCACCTCGACTAATCCCACGGGGTCCTGAAGTTTACAGTCGGGTACTCACCTCAGTGGCCCTGAGGAGACTCAAACTGGTGACACATTTACTTGATTATATTGTTGCTACTAGTTTTGTATCATGCGTTATATCTTCACTTATCAGTTGTACGGATCAATATAAAGATGCATGAATGAATAACACGACCAATTAAAATAAACTTACATCTCCTATGTTTAAAAATTTGTGCTCACCATTGTGTTTCTTATGTTTATATTTTACTCTCATCAAATCTATTTCTTAGTAGTTAAGTCATCATTTAATGAATGCTTGATCATTTGGGGTCGATGTTGTAGCATGTAAAAAAACCAACCTCGTACTTAATTGAGAGAAGCGTCACTTCGTGATTCAAGAAGGGAGTACTGGATTTCAGCTATGGGTATAGAAGTATCCATGGCTTCGCATCTTTTTTAGTCAGCAAGTACTTCATGTTGCATGATCTATGTATACAATAACCTTTGACCCAATCAAGTAAGACTTGAATTTGTCAAAAGCAAACACCACTTTCAAAAGCTCTTTTTTGTAGCGGCGTAGTTTGACTGAGACTCAACAAGAGTCTTGTTGGCATAGTGAATCACATGTGAAATTTTATTATTGCGCTGACTCAAAATTGCTTCAACTGCATAGTCACTTGCATCACACATCATCTTAAAAAGCAAATCCTAATCAAGTGCAACAAGTACAGGAACTAAGACAAACTTTTCTTTAAGAGTGTTGAAAGCAATCAAACACTATTCAACAAAGTGAAAAGAGACTGCAAAGAGGTTTGGTGATTTTTGAGAATTCCTTGACGAAACGTCAATAGAAGCCTACATGTCCCAATAAATTTCTGATCCCTTCATTGAAGCTTGTGGAGGTAGTTTATCTATCACTTGTATTTTAGCCTTGTCGATTTCAATACCCCTAGCTGAAATCAAGTGCCCCAAGACAATCCCTTCTTGAACCATGAAGTCACATTGGTTTTTAGTTAAGTACGATGTTGGTTTTCACATTGCTGCAACACTGACCCCAAGTGATCTAAGCATTTATTAAATGATGATCCAAATATTGAGAAATCATTCATGAAGGCCTCAATGTATTTCCACACCATGTCAAAAAATATGGGCATCATACATCACTTAAAAGTGGTTGGAGCGTTGCACAAACCAAAAAGTATTATTTTGTATGCAAAAGTTCCATAAGGGCAAGTGAATGTCTTTTCCAACCCATTACCGTGCGAGTAGGAATAAGCTCGTTTTCACTTGAAACCACTGTGATTCCTTCTTTTTTGGGTACCGCTTGTATTAGACTCGCTTATGGCTGTCTGATATAGGATACATAATTTTTGCATACAATAATTTCAGTATCTCTCACAACCTCTTGCATCTTTAGTTTTAACCTCCACCAATACTCCATTGGAGGCTTGTATTCATCTTCCATGAGGATCTTATACATGTAAAGAGAAGGGCTTATCCCTTTTTATACCATCTCCCCTTTTTATATCGGAGATGGTCTATTTTTATCGTTGTTTTGTGATCTTGAAGTACACTCAGCAATTGATCTTCTTCACTTGTGGTAAGAGAATTTGAGATAATAACTAGAACTGTATTTTTATCTCCCAAGTAGGTATACTGTAAGTGGGTTGGCAACTGTTTTAGCTCAAGTGTTCGAGTTTTTTGAATGGAAGGTAGAGCTTTTGTTGTAGGCAGAACAACAATAAACCACCAGTTGATGGAGAACCGCCTTGAGATTTATGAAGCAATGTGAAGTATACAAGATCACAATAACAGAAACAAGATTTAAAGTAAAGAACAAAAAGAGAAATTGACAGAAGAACGATGTTTTATTAATAAAAGCTAGAGAGAGTACTAAGCAATAATGCTTTTTGGCTTCACAAATCTAAAAAAAGAGTCTAGTTTCTATAAGAAACTAACCAATCCTTAAAGTAGAGTTGTATATGAAATAAAATGCTAAAAGTTTCCTTATTTTGATCTCTTCAAATCCAATACAAATTTCAATTCCCAATAGGGTTTCCAAATAGAACTTTAATTAGAATTTGACAATTAAACTTGAATAGGATTCCACAATAGCATTTCAATTAGAATTCATTTTCATGTGCACTTCAATTAGAACTCTATAATTATTTCAATAAGGAATTCGCACCCAAATTCTAATAGGTTTTGTTGGATCTTTACCCATCTACAACCTTGGCTACTTCCGAGTAGTGAACGCAGTCTTTTGCTTCTTCTAACTCTGATGGCAGATCTTCGATGTGTACCAAGCAAGCTTCAAGCAGGTTTTGTGGGTGATCAAATATAAATATCTTCACTGCTTTGTGAATCACATCAATCTTAAAAAACAAATTCAATTCATTCTTAAATTGGAGTGCTCTGAAGACGTTGATTGTTAACTCTTCTTTCATTCAACCTCAAAATAATGGGCCCTTTGCACATCCATAAGAGCTTCTTCAATAGCCAAGAGTGGACGTACCAAGATGAAAGGAGCGTCTCTGTCTTCTTCCATGTCTAGAATAATAAAATCTAATAGAAATATAAATTTTTCAATCTTCACCAACATGTCTTCAACAATGCCACGAGGGTGTTGTAGTGATGTGAAGTGTGTCGCAAAAAAGTCAATTTGAAATATTCATGTTGACCCAAATACCCAATTTTAAGTTTATATTCATTTAAATGCCTTTTTTCTCCTTGCTAGATTTGATCTTTACGGTACAATATGGTGTCATCTGTTTTCTGCTTATTGAATTAGGTTAAATTACATGCAAAGGATGTTTTCATACAGAGTTGTAATTAGATAAAGAAATTGGCCTGACTACCCATCTTTGACCCATACATTCGTGCCATTCATCCAAATTGCTTTCGAGTTCTGCAGGTTTTGGGTTGTGAGCGCAACCCCAATTATACGGAGCAATCTCACCGTTTTCACTTTGTGGGACCAACTTGTTGCAATTTAGTGCCTTTTTTGCACTTTCAATTCTGTCTTCCATTTGCATCCAATTGACTCTCAACATTCTTCCATTATCATTATGTGGTTCGAATAAATGTTTGCATATTTGTATTTTGGTTCCCAAACTTTGGAATTTTTCCTATTTTGCTCATTTTTCTTCAATTTCATCCGATTTTCATTCAAAGCATCAAGGTTCACCTAACAAATAAAATATAGACGAGACTAGGCTGTGATCTATAGAAAGTACACAAATTATCATCATTTAATTGTCTAGATAAGTGTACAAAATATACTTATCATGACATATTCCTACTACTAGTCTTGCATCATGCATTACCTCTTCACTTATAAGTTGTCTGGATCGATATAAAGATGCATGAATTAATAACGCGACCAATTAAAAAATTAACTTACATCTCCTGGGATGAAATGCTTTGCTGACCATTATGTTTCTAGATTTGCGTCTTATGTTTATATTTTTATGGTCACTTCAATCATGCAAAAGACATTAAACGATGAAAATAGTAAAGTGAAGTGAATTCAATCTGTTTTTAGGGTCAGTTTATTTTTTTTTTTTTTTAAATTTATTGTAATAAGTTTCCCTGGTTATCTCATTTGCAGTTTGGTTCTCACTCTAAGAAGCGGCCAAACAATCTTGTTATTGGACGAACCTATGATCACCACGTTTATGATCTTGTAGAGATTGGGGTTGAAAATTTCAAAAGCATGAACTCTTTCACATACGATAAGAAATTGGCCCCTCAAATTGGGTCTAAACCCTTTTTTGCTTTTATTGGAGAAGGTTTTGAGAGTGTTGAAGAGCTGAAGCATTTAAAAGAAATTTTACTCGATTTGTTCCATGGAGAGGTTTGTCCGTATTCTTTTGTTCTCTTCTAGTTCTTTTGTGATTGGTGTTCCCCTGCTTATATTATATTGTATGATTTCATAGAGTGACATGATAAGTACAATCTCAATTTTGCAGGTTGTGACTAATTTGAACCTTGCTGGACTGGACCATGTTTATGTATGCACCGCTATATCTTCAAACAAAGTATTCTTCACTCATTGTGCACTGCGACTTAAAAAGTCTGGCACTATAGTGCCAAGGATGGAGTTGGTTGAAGCTGGTCCATCCATGGATATGGTGGTTCGAAGACATCGTCTTCCTGATGACAGCCTGAGAAAAGAAGCCATGAAGATTGCCCCTGAATTAACAAAGAAAAAGGTTTGCCTTGTTAAAAAAAATGCTTTTTGCAATTTAAGATGGTGCTAATTCTGGCTCTTGATTTTCAGGAGAAAAATGTTACCAAAGATGCAATACAAGGGAAAATTGGGAAGATTTATATTCCAGATCAAATGGTAATGCTATCTAACACAACACATAATCAAACATCAATTATGCTACATATACATTATTGGTTTATATACACATGATATGGTAATATATGATTGAGTCAGAATTTCTTCAATAAAATGAAAAAAAAAAAATGATAATAATTCCCTTATCTTTTTTACGCCTTATTTGTATATGAACTATCATATAACTTCTTATGTATAAGTAGCATTATTTATCAAACATACCACTAGGTGAAGTAATTAGATTAAAGCTATAAAGAGAAACCTTCCAACTGGTAGTGCTATCCTAGCCATTGGATATTTATCCCTGATTTAACATCAGATGAGAGTTAGCCATCTCTTTGATTGCATATTCCAGTTGAGAGCTAGTCATCACTCTGTGTTCACTGAACAGTCTCTTGGTCCTTCCATGAAGTGAATTACGCTGATGTATTTTATCAGCGGCTGTATTTCAAGCTAGGCATTGGATAAGCACTAACAACTTCTCTTGTATATAGGTTGGAAGCGTGGTGCTGCCTAACAAAGCAAAGGGAGTGAAGAGGGAGCGAAGGGAAGCTAAAATGAAAGACGAGGCGAACAGGCCTAAAGAAAAGAAGCAGAAACAGCATTCTGAGTGATTCCATTTGGGCTTTAGTAGCAGCCGTAACTTATTTGAGTGTAACTTCCTTTGCTTTGCAAATGGGACAAGGCAATTTTGGTTCCAGATTTAATTGGTTAATGCAATTATATCATCTCTCAGCGGTTTACTAATTGATGGTGATTATGTTATACACACGTTTGATATAAATCTAAAGAATAAGCTATTGATACATAATAGAGTTATATAATAATTTACATGCAGATAAGATGTCGAGAAGAGAGATTTGATTTTTTTTATTTTTTTATTTTTTGAAGAAATTGAGATCCAATCATATCTCAAAACATGATGTTTTTGTAAATCGTTTTGCAAATGTAGCACAATCGAAATCTAAAATTTGTACATAATCATTTTGGTGATTAAAGAGTTGGAAAATGATAAGAAAGTTATGTTCCGATGAAAATGAATATCTAGGAGAATGTAAGATACAAAGATTAGAACATTATGGAGGTTTAATAAAGAGATTATTTAATTAAAGTATAAATTCTTGGTTGCATAGCATAAGATAAGCTATTCGTAGTGAAAACTGTCAGTAGTCGCCCTATGTGACATACACTTCGCAATTTGGTATTTGATATATAAATATGGTAGTTATTTTTTGAATTATACATCAAATGAAAAACTGTCAAGTGTACGCGACAGAGGGCGATTGTCGGTAGTTTTCACTGCGAATAGCATTATTCATAAGATAATGAAACCGTTATAAGTTATTATTTATTAATATAACGTTAAATAAAACGATTGCATATGAATACATAAGGGGTATGCCTTCTGAAAGACCACATTGAACTTCCAAGAAGAAACTCTCAAACATTTTAAATCTGGCGCTGCTATCAGTTAGTGTAAGCGTGAACAATACAAAGAAAAACATTAAATCCCAATTTGGTGGGAATTAAAGTGAGATTTTTAGTAGATTTTAATAGAAATTAATAAAATGATTGAAAAGTTGCCGGACACATGAAACATGAGGTTAACATTAATTGTTGACTTTGATTTAAATTAAAATTTATACCTTAATTTCTATCAAATTGAGGCTAAAATTAATATACAGACATCATTTAACTGGATTGACAATGTGCTTACGATCATTGACGTTGCACCCAAAAAATAAAAAATTATTGAAGTCAAAATCTTTCCATATTTATACATTCAAGTTAGCGCTAGAAATTTTTTTTTGGCTCATGTTTATAAATTGTTCACGAACATTCAAAACACTTTTTATCTACACACTTTGAAGGATAAACAAATACTATCTATTTAAACACAATTAATCTTTATCTAGTTATAATTTAAACTGTTTATAAACACATCCTAACTGTGTTTAGTTTGATTTGAAATTAATTCAAGCATCATTGAAATCAAACCATATTCTCCCCTAACTAGTTTAGTGAAATGAATATTATATATAATTTTCAAATATCACGCGAAACAACATCAAAGTAAGTGAACTAATTGAAATCATATAAAAATAACTCCCAAAAAATATATGTATCAATACTCGTCATGATTAAAAATAATTTTCTTACAATTGACCCAAAAAAAAGAGGAGGGAATAAACGACCCCCCACCCCAAAAAAAAAAAAAATTAAAATTAAAAATAGTTTAAAAGATTAATTTTTTACCATGATCTAAGCTTCTAAAGTTATTAGACTAACAACTAATTAATATATAAGAGTTTAATTACAAATTAATCTATTTTTTTAGAAGAAAATATGCAAAGGAAGCAAAAAATAAATAAAAGACTGATTATAACATTATTGAATGATGACCATAGACCATAAGCACCTAGCACACATTTATTCCTATTTATAATAAAATCAGGCAACTCTCCACAATTTTGCGACTAATGTCTATCCAAACATCAAATAACAAATTAACAACTTGCATTTATCCTTTAATTTGAATTTAACAAGCTTATCGCTCCAAGATTTTCTGCCCTCCTTATCACTTGTTTGATCATCATCATTTATGTTGCCAATTGTGTAACATTTCTAACATCCTCACTCAAACTGTGCATGTGCTGGGGCTGAAGGCACATTTTGTTTTGAAAATTTGAGAGCTGCCATGAACATTAATTTGGGGATCATGCTAGATGTATCTAATTTTTTTTTACCTAATGCTTTACATACACTCACAATAGAGGTGTGGGGACCACATGTTGGAATAATTTTATTTACGCGGAGCCCACATGCCTGTGAGAGTAGGTTAACGAAATTATGTACACTTAGAATTATCTTTAATTTGGTGAAGAAGCCAACAATGATTTTTATCTTCATTCTTATGAAGATATGTCATGAAGTATGGAAAGCATTATAAGCATTTCAAATGCTTTCCATACTGCATGGGTTGTGTCGAAGCCTTTAACTAGTTTGAGGGTTTCTTCAAACTGTTGAGATGATCTAACCATGCACAAGGGGATCGGACTTTCACTAGCCAATGCATTTGTTAATTTTGGTGTGAAATTCCCACGCTTTTTTGAATTGTTTGGATTTGATGTGTTGTATTTGGTGGAAACAAGGTTTTTTCATTGGTGAAATGATCAACCCATTCTTAAACACATTTGTCAATTTTGGTATGAAATTTGCTGTTTCTATTGTTTTGTTTGGATTTGATGGGATGTTTTTGATGAATGAGGATTAATGAGAGATGCGTATAAAGAAGTTGTCAACATTTACAGAAAATAAAGTGAAAGTGGAGAAAATGACTTGTAGTGTGCCAATTGCTTACAATGACTTTGATACCAAGAAGAAATATGAAAAAGGAAGCGAAAAATAAATAAAATACTGATTATAACATTATTGAATGATGATCATAGGCCATAAGCACCTAACACACATTTATTCCTATTTATAATAAAATAAGACAACTCTCCATTATTTTGTGACTAATGTCTATCCAAATATCAAATAACAAATTAATAATTTGCATTTATCCTTTAATTTGAATTTAACAAGCTTATCGCTCCAAGATTTTCTGCTCTCCTTATCACTTGTTTGATCCTCATCATTTTTATTGCCAATTGCATGACATTTCTAACATTTTTAATATAAAGTCTTGTAATAATGAATTACAAATCTCTCTCTCTCTCTCTCTCTCTCTCTCATTACAAATTAATCTATTTTTTAATATAAAGTCTTATAATAATGAATTACAACTCTCTCGTATAGAAAAGGAGAGGAAACAATGAAAAATATGAAAAAAGTTGGTAAGAAGATCGTTAAAGATACAGAAAAAAAGGTTGAGAGAGAAAAATATATGACCTTCTTTATAAAAATGGTAATTGATCACTGCTGTAGGATTTGTCAAAATAAAAGATGAAAGTCAAATATTGAAGAAAGAGAAAATTAGAGATTGAAAGACCCTTTTTTAAAGAATTTCAAAATATTGTGGGTGAATAAGAGAAAAAATTGGTTGAATTATAAATAAATAGAAACGAGTGACTGATAAGAGGATAGTGTTGTAGAATCCACAAAATCTCTGGATAAAATATAGTAAAAAGTAGTTTTACAAACAATTTATAAATAATAGCCAATAAAGGGCTAAAACTGAAAAGTCCATTTGACGATTTCAGCACAAGTGCCGAATAGTCGTTTCTAATGCTCAAGCGGAAAACAGAGCCTTTTTTCACTTTTTGTAACCTCCGCTCGACCGAACATTTTGTGCTCTCCAAAACACATAATTTTTTCCTTTCATTGATTTTTTCATCGATTGCTTCTTACCCCTATTTGATATTAATTAAATTAGATTTTAATTTAAGTCAAAGTCAAACAATCAATATTAACTACGCCTTTCATAGGTCCTAAAACTTTTTAACCACATATTTTAAAAACTTTTATGAAAATCTATACAAAATCCAGGGGTGGACCCAGACAGTTTGAACTGTGTGGTCAAAAATGAAATTTTTTTGAACAATGTATTATTTACAAAAATAAGACTATATGCTACTACAATAAGATTTGAATTTGGGCTTTTTGGGCATTGGACTAGGAAAATTAAGGGGAAAAATTCATAATCCAGAAGATAAGTATAGGGCATTTCAAATTTAAGATGACATGTTTGAAGTTTCATAAATCAGAAATTAGATGGGTGGAGAGAGAGAATCTTGGGGGGAGTAGAGAGAAGAAGATTTGATAGGAATTAAATACGGGTGGGAGGAGAGAGAAGGAAATTGGAGAGAGAGAGAGAGAGATTGGAGAGAGAATAAATAATATTTATTATTTTAACTAGTAAGATTTAATTTTAGAAATGTGAAATTCCTAGATTCTATTATAACCAATTCACCTATCAAAATTACAATTGACAGCTCAGACGAGGAATAAAGGTCACAAATTTGAACAAACTCCTACAATTCATCTCTCAAATGATGTATTAAAGCCACAGATTTAATATTAAGGTCAAAAATATATATAATTTAGTCACAGATTCATGATTTAATTAGTCACATATTATTTTTCGATTACAAATAAAAAAATTTATATATCACAAATTATTTTACGGTCATAATTCAAAAATTCAATAAGTCACAATTTGTTCATTAGTCACGAATCAAAAAAATTTATACGTCACATATTATTTATTGGTCACGGATTACAAATATTATAAGTAGCAGTTTATTAAACAGCCACAAATTAACAAATTTTTTAGGTCACGTTTTTTTTTTCACAATTCTTCTTTTTTCACTGGTCACATGTTTATCGGTCACAGAAAAAATGATATGTGACTGTCACCAACACTTATGACCACCACCCCCACCACTGTTGCTGTCGCATTGACGTCACAACTGCCACCTCCAAAACAACCACCACCATGTCCCCGTAGCCCTGTCATCACCAACACAACCACTTTAAAAATTACCACAAAACAACCCAAATGCATCCCAAAAAAAGAGATGCCACAAACCACGAATCCATCCCTGTCCATCGCGCACAGCAGCAAATCTCACTGTGGGCGACGAAAGCAAGTACCTGCCGATGGGGGCGGAGCCAGAAGACAAGAATCATGGGGGCAAATTTCATAAATTTTAATTTATGGGGGCAAAATTTAAAAAATGTGAGGACTTTTTTGGAAAAAAAAATTTGGTTCAAAACAACAAATTTTGTAAAAAACCATGGGACAGTGGAGTTGTAAATCCGCCCCTGCCTGCCAATGAAAAGAACGAAGAAGAAGGAAGATGACTGTGGCCATTGCTCTTCACATCGCGACGGTTAGGAGTGAGCACGGTCCGGTTCGGTCCGATTCTAAAAGGAACCGAACCGAACCGAATACCAATGAGAATTTTAGAAATGGAACCGTTGGTTCCATTGTTAGCAATGGAACCGAACCGGAACCGAACCAATCGGTTCCGGTTCGGTCCGGTCTGATTCTTTATATAAAGATGTCAAAATAAAATATTTACTAATAAGAAATCTAAAAAAACTACCAATGTGATACTTTTAAAAAAATATAGAAGAACCGAACATATTATACAAAGATTAAAAGAAAACTAAGTATATAAATTTTAAAATAATATGCAAATAATATAAGTTACTATTATCAAACAAATATTAACTTATATAAACCGTCTAGTACTTCAATGATTAAACAAACTTTCATCAAAATGAAAACAAAATAAAAGTGTTTGGAGAGTAAGTCATATATTTTACTGAAAAAAATGCCAACTGAAGGGTCTTTTTTTAACATTTTCTTGAGCCTTCAGGTAATCACAATTCAGTATTTTTCTCAATTATTTAATTAAAAAGTGACATATGAACTATATACATGAACATTCGTTTCATTTCCATATGTCACTGCCTTTTGCTTATGTTGTTATACTACAAATTTTTTTTTTTAATTTTGTTTTACTTTGATGGAAGTTTCTTTTCACTTTAAGAGTAAGTCATATATATTACCAATTTGGTTTCAGGACAAATTGGAGAGTAAGTCTTATATTTTACCAAAAAAGAAAAAAATGCCCACTAAAAAAATTTTTATGAGAACCGTTCGATTCCTCTCGGTTCCCATACTAGAACCAAGAACCGAACCGGAACCGATCTGTTCTTAATAATTTGTCCCGAAACCAAATTATTTTTTAGAAGAACCAGAACCGAACCGGCCGGTTCTACACGGTTCCTGTCCGGTTCCAGGAAAAAATGCTCACTCCTAGCGACGGTGGTGGTGCGGGCTAGGTGGCGGAGATTATTGCAATGCTGTTTAACACAACGTGAGGCTAAGCGGTAGCTACACAACGCAGTGGATATCGCCTGAATCGAAACAAGTTTCTTGGGCTGCTAAAAGAGAGAGAAGATGGGTGGAGAGAGAATACGAGTGGGAGGATAAAAGAAAGATTGGAGAGAGAGAAATTAGATAGAGGTACGGGTGGGAGGGAGGCTGAAAGAGAGAGAGAATAGGGTGGAAGGAGAGAGAAGGAGATTGAAGAGAGGTAAATACGGGTCAGAAAGAGAGAAGGAGATTGGAAAGAGAAAGAGACTGGAGAGAGAATATTTAATATTTAAAATATGAAATATCTGACTTTTGAAATGTATAATTAATCATCTGATTTTAGAACCCTAGATTTTAACACTAGGGATCTGTGTAATTTTCACAAAATTAATTAAGTTGACTCACTACTTTGATAGAAAATTACATTTTAAGTAAGGAAAAAAAATCTAAAAAACTGTGAGGTCATTTGACCCCATGTGGGTCCGCTAGTGATAAAATCTAATTTTAATTCCGACCAAACAGGTGCTCTATGTTGACCTTGAAAAATTGAAGCAACAAAACCTTTGGACAAATAGTTTTCGAATCACCCTTCTATTGCCTTTTTTTGGATCACAGCATGACTTGAAGAGCTACTTTATCGTGGGAATTTCCGGGACAGGGAAGAGTCGGAGAGAAGGAATTTGACTAGGTTTCTGATTTCGCTTCCTTTCTTTATGAATTGTTGGGTATATATATATATCTCAAACGAGTCAAACCTATAGGCTCTTTGGTCTTTTCATGGCCGTTGAGCATGTGTCACCTCGCCATTGGAGCATTCATATCAGATTTTGATAATAGATGGTTCCATTTGAGGTACGTGATGTTTGCCCGTTAAGTATGCTGTTATTTTCGTTTGATTCTTCTGATCTTCCTTTTTGCATGGTCATAAATGGACAAAAGTTTCAATGAGGCATGCAAAGGTTTCCTCGGGCCAGGTGATGATTGGTCCTCGAGTGCAAAGTATAGGGAATTCATTGTCGAATTCATATCGATGTTTACGTGACGAACCTGACTTGTCTTTATTTATTTATTTTTCTAATGATTCCACATGCTATATCTCTATCAAAATTTAAAGTTAGAACTTTTTGTACTTATAACATGATAGTTCATAAATACTTGCCACGTGGGACCAAGTCTAATTGCCATGTCGAGGAAGATGAATACGTTCCCATTGCTTCAGCTGACATGTTTTGTGGGTAACTAATTAATCTCAACCTTAATGGGATTGACCTTACTTCTCAAGGTTTAGCCCATCAATCATGTTATAGGTACAAGAAATTTTGACAGAAAATTTTGACTGACAACACATGACATGGAATCATTGAAAGGCGGAGAGAAATAGAAAAAAAAAAAAAAACCAATCATTCGTAGTCATATCAGCATCAGTATGAATTCCGTGAACAATTTTCTGTACCCATGACTTTTTTCTTAGCCCATTGCCTACTACAGTTCGGCCTGCCACGTCAATTTCTATCCTTAAAATGAGTTTAGAAGTTCAGTTGGACACTTTTGATTCTAATGAAGTCCTGTTTGCCAGAACTTTTTTTCAAAATTATTTTCAACCACATATTCAATGATACTCATAATTTTCTCCTATTGAAGTCATTTGTCACCTGAAAAAATTTCTCCTAAGCAGACACTTAGTAATTAACTTGTCAACTACTAGTCTACTATAGGTAGACATTTTTCTTCACGAATCCATGAGCATTTTTTTATCGCGATTGTATTACTGTCACAGATTTGGAGATTAAGCAAGCATTAGTTTTCTTATGGAATCCAACCACACCCCAGAAGTTTAAAAGTAAGTGAAATTTACATTTTAGAAAATTATAGAATTTGAGTTTTAATGTTTTAAGATAAATTTCCATTTCCAAACAGGTCTAGATAGTTATACTATTCAATACAAAACATCGTGTACATGAGAAGGCCTATGGAAGCGGAGTAATGCTATTTAAGCATCAGTCTATATGATAATGAAGTCACTGCTAAATATCTAGCGAAGTTGGAAACCTTTTTTTATTTAGACCTTACAGTTACCTAGACTGACACCACTGGAATTAAATAGCATTATTCATGGATGTGTGATCACCAAGTGTCATTGAGATTGACTTGTGCAGACCGCCACCAATCGCGGAGTAACAAGTCATGGTTGTTTACCCGAGTCAGCCAAAAAAAAACCCACCCGGCCTAAAGCAATCCAACGGTTAATATACAAGGGATAACCATGACTGGGCATCATCCCCACAAAATTTTCCACCACCTTCACACATCCAATAGATAATCAGCTAAACTGCAAGAATTCACATGCAGAAGCTCCAATACGCGGGCAATAGATTATAATATTACCTTTCCATAATTATCAGCATAGTATCATAAATGATATATGATATCACTAAGTTCCACATACTAACTTGATTGTTATAAGTAACATTTTTGCTTATATGTAAATTTTTTAAGTCAAGACCGTTTAAAAATCACTGTCCATTGGACATAAAGCCAGGGTATATTGCCTTCGGAGTACTGCCTTTCTGCTTCATTTGCTTATAACTCCAGCAATCAAGAATACATAACTAAAAAAATTAGGTAATGAATTAGAAGAGAGGCATGTCATTCTATGTCAGCCTCTATGTCAACAGTAATGAAACATTTCTTGTTTGAGGAGAAATATCAAGATTTAACGCTACACATACCCAAATTCCCTTCATTTCATATATAAAATTGGCTGATTTTCATTTCCTTTTTGCAGCGTGAAGAACATTGCTCTGATTCCCGGCCTGCTAAATGCCATTGCTGTTTCTACATAATCCTACTGTTAGCTATGGTCATACCTAATTCTCACCTGTCCTTCACTTTACCTTTGTTAACTTGCTGACTGGGAAGTGCAATCTAGCAATGAGAGGACGCGGTGCTCTTGTCTTCTGGTCGAATCCCCTTACACAGACAAAGCCTGGAAAACATGATAAGTAATTATGAGTGTAAAGGCCAGGTGAAGTTGTTTTTAGGACATTATACTTAGATTATGAATAAACATTGATTCTGTGTCAAACCACATAAATGAAGCTACTAGAATTTGATGACAAAACTCCCATATTTAGGACCAGAGACGAAGATGTCGAGTATATGTCCACACGATAGTCATGGTTCTTGCCTTTTGATGAATGGCATAATACTCTTTTGCTTTTTCTAAGATGAGTATCAATTGACGAATCCCCATTCCAAAGGATGTATTTGTTTAAAATTAAGAAGTTTCATGGTGGTTTAACTTGACCAATCATGTGATCTAGTTTGTGTATCTATCCAACAAGAGAAATCTAGAGTATAGAATAAAATCACTAAGTCAGTATAGAAAGCATGACATGACAGAATCATAGTCTCCTTGACCAATTGTGTGATTTAGTTTGTGTGTCTATCCAACAAGAGAAATCTAGAGTATAGAATAAAATCACTCAGTATAGAAAGCATGACATGACAGAACCATAGTCTCCTTTATGGGGGCATATACAAGTATTTCATGTGAGTTTTTTTCACTTTTGAAAGATCTTATTCAAATGGCAAACTAGTGTGAAACATGAAGAACTGGTCGATATCCATCTACTGATATTGTTAAGGTCATATTATATTTGTCTCATAAAGAATACAGTTCATTTTCTTATCAAGAGGCTTAACAAGCTTATTTTGAGAGTACATCCAGTTGGGCTTAACTATTTAATTTTCATTTGTGGTTATATAGACTTTCCTTGTGTAGAAATGCAGAATGAGACAAACAGATATACTGGATTGATTGGAATGGTACTCAATTTACCTAGCTTTCTGTTAAAGACATCTGCATCTTGATATAGTGTACAGTGTACTATTGAGGTAGTTAGAATAAAATAAGGTCTTATTGCTGCACATACCTCTCCAAAAACAGTACTGAATACCTTCTGTTGTTAGCCCTGTTGTAAATATAGAGACGTAATGTCAGGCTTTCTTGGAAATATCTATCATGAACCAATTATTTATGACCCTTTACCTTTAAATATTGTGGGTATGGAGGTTCCAAAGTACACCATTCTTCGTGGCAAATTCCATAACCAGTCTCTTGGAATATTGATAGGGTTCACGCTAGATTCATGGTCAGCAAACACCTGTAAATTAACAAATTTTAATCTCTAGGTCCAATTCAGCAGTCGAGTAATTTAATTTGCAAGGACTTCATACAATCTTACCTCATTGACTTGAAAATAGGTACCATTGAGTGGAAAGCTTCCTCTCATAGCTGTTCTGCAGGGTATCTGTCATAGTTGGTTATGATGGAGTAGATTAAAAAAAGGACCTTTTTTTTTTTTTTTTTGGCAAAAGTTAGATCCGTGTCATACTTTTATATAGATACCATTATGATAAAACATTTTACGGCTTTCCCTTACCAGAAGTGTGCCTCTAACGGTTTGCGAGTTCCCTTCGCGGATAGAATTGCATGAAAAACACGTTTCGTCAGTGCACAGATTCCCAGATTCTTGGGAGCTGCAATGTCTTTCTGGTGGCTGAATACTGTCCACAGTTTCACCTAATATGATAGAATCAGTTAGTACTAACTACTAAGGCGAATTTTAAGTTGGTTCGCCATATAATTTGCTTTGTCTTATGTAATATATGATAGAATCAGCTAGTACTAAGGTGAATTTTGAATTGGTTCATCATATAATTTGCTTTGTCTTCTGAATTACATAATTCGCCTACAAATTAGCATTTATTATTTTTATTCTCCAAGAACAGTCCTGCAAGTGTGCCTTAGTAGATTTATGATATTTTGTTACCCGGGGTCCATATTGCAAGTAGGTATGAGCAGGGATCATCTGGTTCTCTTTTATCCATCTGCAAATTAAGAAAATATAGGTATCAATGAAAAATCGGCTTGTACAGTTAAGTAAAAATTATACATTGAAGGAAAGCTGATACAGTGTTGCTTACTTTTTGCAGCAGAGGATGTGAATCTGGAAGCTCATAGCTATAGAAGGAGAAAATAATTAATAATATTCCTCAAGAATTACCATATGCATTATAGTGCTCCCCAAAACTAAAATTAACTAGTAAAAGCTTAAATTTTATGAAATACTCGTAACTTGCTTCCATCTCTCAGAAAGTTGATGAATAGTAAGCTTTCACTAATCAAATTTATTTGCTGTTACCTTAGGGGTGGCACATTAACCATGATTAATAGTGGAAGCGTTTGCTTACACTTGATGCTCTGTTCTAAGTCGGTTCACATTCTTAAGTTTAGGCATAGGGATTGAAGCTGCTTCCGGAGTTAAAGCTACTAGCGCCTTTGACATATCACCCTCCTGTAGTTCCATCTGTTTTTGCATAATTTCCTGCAAATTCTGAGTTAACCCTTCCATATTGAGTTGAATAGCAGGAATATCATCAGAATCTTCAACGTTGTCCTCAATGTCACATTCCGGAATTTGTGTTGAGTCTGGTTCTGGAGTTGGAGGCACTTCAACAAAGGGCTCTGGTGTAGCTGGCACTTCAATAATGGGTTCATAGTTGCTGACTTTATTGTGTGCTTCCAATTGATGAGGTAAAGGTAACCACAAAGAATTGATAATTTTCACAGCATTCTGATCAGATGAGTTGTTTTCTATTGCACTTACAACACTTTTCTCCTCTGGTGCTGGAAGAGCTAATCTCGCGCTGCATGCATATTCATGCGATTTAGTTATATGAAAACGTGATTTACATGGTTTTGTTCACTTAATCATATGGGAGTCTTGAAGTACATATCTTAATTTGGTTCTGATGTGGCTTCCAAAGCTTACAATCTGTGTCGTAGTGGCTCAGTGAATCTAATAGGATAGAGTTGGTTTTTGCTTATATAAGGAATATGATGTCATGTTTTGCTGTTTCTTCACTTATTTATTTTTTTAAAGTGTACTGTCCATAGGGGTACATTAAAATATATATTATTAAAATTGTCAAATAATGGTCTTTACTCTCCTAATGATTCAGGTCTATCTTCTGAGTAGATTCTAGCTTTTTTGGAATATAACTGGATGTTTATTTAACCAGATATTCAATTGTGAAATGCACTCTAACAACTATAAGAACTCTTGCACCAAAATAATGGGAAAAGGGAAATCCTTGTTCAGTTGCAATAAAAAATTGAATTTGTAGACCTTGCAAATGCACTCGCAAAATGTCTGCATTCTCCTCTCATTGGACAAGCATTGCAATTTGGTTTGCTCTTGGTACAAAACACCTGAAAAAATAGAAGAGCTTACCTTCGGCTTATGTCTGTAAATTCTTCAATATTTTGGAATATAGAAGACATTCTTCGGTAACTGTGGCATACCTTTCCAAAAGTAATCATCTGGTAATGCAGCTCATATCTGCAATGATGACATCTAAACACTTCAATTATGAATTAATTAACTATAAATTAGCAAAGTATAGATTAGTAAATAAATAGTGATTACAGTGTCCTTTGATCAAGCTTGCAGAGGCGTGGCCACAGATATTTTTGAATAGACTCCAATACTGGGTACCTATGCAAGGACAACAGCACAAGTTATTATCTTCTGAAGTTCCTGTAACATGAAATTAAAAATCTGAAGAGGCTTTGGAGTACTCACAGTTCTAGGAGATGCAGCTGAAGTGACTCAGGCAATGGTTGAAGAGGTACCCATCCCAATCTTACGGCTATGCGCCCAACATTCGTGTCGACCTTTTGGGTACAGCAAATAAAGATTGGTTAGTGATGTTCTCTTCCATATAAATTGAAGGATCTGCATTCAAGCTTAAATCTTACTGGAAAAGCAAGGTGATGTAGTGTCAAGAGCCGTACACACTCCACGCTCTTCAAACCCAAACCCCGTACGCTCAACAGATACTCTCTGAAATATAAAAAAATTTCTAAATGCAAGTGTTTTTTAACCATGCAAGATACATTTGGTCAAATGGCTTACTTTGCTTTGTCTGGTGGAATATCCCTTAGCCATTCCAGATCAATGCTTCCATGGTCTCTAACTAGGCGATTGAGGAAGTCCTGCACAAGTTATCCAAATGATTATCAACTGTAAAAAGGGCGCTCTTTGTGTCTGACTGTAATATGCCAACTGAGATTTAAATATTCAAAGGAGTAAATTCTTTTGTTGATTTCAAACGTAAACCTTGATTCTCTCTGCCAGCATATTGTTCATTCCCCTTTCTTTGATGGTTTGGGCAATCTCATTAACATCTGCACATCTTACTGCATCCCAGTCCACTGAGTCCATCGTATTGGCTGTCCTCTCTCTTCGCGTGCCACCTTCTTGTGCTTGTTTCCTTAACCTATCCCAGTCAACTGGGTTATGTCTCTCTTTTCTAAATTTCCCCTTCTTTGCTTTACGTTCAATTACTATTTTACCAGGATCTTTCAAATTTGAATCCACTTCTTTGTTCTCAAACGTTCTTGAATTATCAATATTGCTACTATCCGTGATATCTGTGAAATTTTGTCGTAAAATCGGTATGTTTGATACTTCCTGCCTTTTATAGTTATTTTCTTCAAACTGAAACTGTGACTCCAGTTTTCCTGTAGGATTTTCAGCTATCTTCGGGTACATGTCCGTTAGATGGTTGCTTGAGTGACCTTTTTCATTATAGGGTTTTGGTGTTTCGCGACTGATAGCCAAGAACTTCTGCAATGTGGTTTGTGTCGCAGATTCTGCCGACGACCCACTTAGTTCCGTCTCAAAAAGTTCCTTTTCATTGGCAATATTCGAGCTTTCACCATTCTTTTGAGGTCTATCAAAGTGTCCTGCTTCTTGTGCTCCTGAAGTGGGTGTGAGACGCATGGCTGGCTTACTGCCGGTATTATCTGACAGGTTCTCGTTTTGATTTTTTGTGTCATGGACCATACTTACTGATTCGATTTGTCGATCCATACTGGACAAGTTATTTTCATCCCTTCGATTGTTATCTCCGTGCAGTATGGTTTGTTCCATCCGTGATAGCTTTACACAAGAAGTAGAGCAAATAATACTGTTTGTGTTAGGGTCACTTCCAGCTGGTGGTTCTGCCTCTAAGGTGCTCAGTGAGCAAGATTCAGTTCTTTCGCTGGTTAGATCAATGACAGAATCTGCAGAGTTCCTTGAGTAAATCACAGAACTCAGAGAAGAAAGTGTATCATCCAAGTCTCTTTCATCCCCAACGAAACCTGTTGACTTGTTCACTGTAGATTCTAGGGATGCATCTGGACCATTTGTACAGAGACCTGACAATTGAACACTTTTATCCTTCGATATGCCATCAAAGCTATTTCCAGAGGACTTGACACTGTCGACAACTTCTCTAATGTCATCGTAGTCAGAGTCCAGAAGAAACATCTTAGAATCCTTGCTACAGGTTGGCTGATTTAACACTTCATTCCATCCAATTGTATCATCTGGATCCAGATCACATACTTCAGGTTCTTTGGCTGTGATTCTCACTACATCTTGATATGATTGTCCTAGGTCGCTTTCTGGTTCAGATGGGAATCGTGCAGCAAGTGACATGAAGGCAGAGCTGCAAGAATGGATTAGCATATTAAAGAGATTTTCCTAAGGAACTCATCAGCTGAACTCTGGCGAAGTAAGTTTAGTTAATAAGAGTTCTGAAACGTTTAAAGGTTTAACGAACCTAGAAAGATGATCTGATACATTCTGAGTGAGAAAAACACCAATTACAGAATCTAAAACTGATCCCTTCCATGGAGAAAACCGTCTGTCCCCTGTGAGACAATACATAGCCACACGAAGTATTAAGAAATTTAGTGAATCCTGTTATTAGAGTTATTTTCTAAATGCAGCACACAAGAGAGCATATTAGGCTCCTGAAATTGTTCAGGTGCAAGCTTGGAACTCTGTCTTCATGGATAACACACAAACATATTTGTGTGAGCAAGAAAATTTTTTTTTTTTTTTTTTTTTTTTTTTTTTTGGGTTTATTTGTAGAGAGCAATATGTATCTTTTTTTGGGGGGGGGGGGGGGGGGGGGGGGGGGGGTTGGCATGGCATCTGATTGGAATTTTGCATGTTGAATGCGGTAATAGACTATAGATTTCTTCCCTCATGATTCCGGATAATCAACAGTTGACATTTTCCAACACTGGTCTGTAATCCCAATATATTGCATGGCTAATAATAGTGGTGTTTCAGCTAATTCCTCTGGTCAGTTCAACATTTCTATTAACAGCACTTACATTTCTAACAAATAGTGTTCTTTAAGGGAAGAGAAAATGTATATCCGAGCTGCAATTTATTAATTAGATAACTATAGGGCTATTTTGATATATGGGCACGAATACCTTGGACAAGATGCATGCGTGCAATAAATGAGTCTACTCTTCCACGAAACACTCTTCGTTCTTCTTCCCACCATTTTTCATTTTCTTCATCTGTGCCATCAATTCCTTCACTGTTTATATTCTCTAACAAAAGTTTCCACACCCTATTTGTCTCATCATCAAGATCAACCTTCGGTCGTGGTCGACGTCTTTTACCCAGATAAAATGAGCTGTCAAAAGGGACTAGAGCTTCACTTCTTTGATAGGGAACAAGGGCATATTGCTCTTCATAATTCATGTTGTAGGCCATAACTGTATTGTGCTCTATAGCCGCATCTAGGCTGCTCACTGCATTTAAATCAAGTCTGTTACATTGCTCAATGAGAGAATCAACTGGAGACCTGCACATCCATGTTTTAGCAAGCGGAGAACCTGCATTAAATGCCAAAAGCGATTCAGAAAGGAGTGTTTTGTGAAAGATAGCAATCATACAAATCTATTAATTACCCATTGATCTGGTGACCAATTTATGGTGACTATGAATATTTTTCAATGTTGAATTGATATTCAATTTTCTCTTTGACCGCTTCTTTTTCGTCATTTTTGCACTGGCGTAAAAGGTTTTGAATGTTGTTGCTTCAGGGCCCGGAGAACCTAACACTTGTTTACACATTTCCAGGAGTGACCCCAAGTTAGATACTGAATCAGTTTCTTTGGATCTCTTTTTCTCCAACCTCTCTGTAGGTCCCAAAGTTGACAAAAATCCGATATTCTGCTGTTCGTTTTGAGTATAATCAAGTGGAGCAATTGCATGATTTTCAGGGGCAATAACTGTGTTCGTGCTGGAAATTGCTGAATCGAGTCCTTTCTCAATTCTCTTTGTCATTGCAGGAAAACTAATGCCAGGAGTGCAGTCATAGTTATATGCATTTTGTTGAAAAATAGCACTGTATGCCTGCAAAGAATTGTGAAAAGTCTCAGTTGAATTTGACCTGCCAAATTCTGCTACAACAGTTGTACCCTTATGCTGTCTTTTTAAATCTCTTTCTTGTACCAACCATGTGCTACTACTGCAGTCTGAATCACTTGGGCTCTTTTGAGTCAACTGAGCATCGGAATTCACCTGTACAGTATTTCCTTCTTTATCGTGAGTGAAATCCGAAAATACAATTTGACATTTTCCTGTTATACATGTTTTTTGATCCATGAGTGTTAATTTATCGTGTAGTGTATCTGTCTTGGAATGAGGTGAGGAGCTAGAGTAATGTCCTTCAAGGTTTGATGGGTAACATTCGATTACTTGCTTCATAGGGCGTGCAAGATCATAAGCAATGCTCACTTCAGTCTTCTTCATTAGTGCTTCGCTCCCCAGCTGCATGGTTGATCCTGATTGATCTTTTGCTTTGAAGTTATGTGCTTTTGGTTCCATGTCAGAATTGCTTTCATCTCTCACTTGGCCTTCAAAGTCAAACTTCAGTGATCTCCTGCAGGAATATCTAGTTTGCCGAGCTGTTTTTGGATCTGTTGTTTCGCAGGAATCCTGGTCCAAGGTATTGGCTGCAGGTTTGTTGATTCCTCCTCTTCTGACATACTTTCTCTTACCGTTCGTGGTTTCCTTGGCACTTGAGGACTTCGTGATTATATTGCTTCCATTTATTTCCCTTTCGAAGGGAGTGGCTTCTGTGGGATTGTCAACTCCTTTTCTCTGAACATATTTTCTCTTTCCTTTTGTGGTTTCCTGGGGATCAGAAGGCCTTTCAACTCTTGGTTTAGGAGTTATTTGGGATTGGTCTTCTATTATCACTTTGGGCCTGTGCTTTTTTCTTCTTGGTTTCCGCTGTGGTGTTTTGATCAAGTCAACATCCCCAGTGCCTCCCTTGTCAGGCTTGTTGTTCTCCTCCAACTGTGTGGACATATTTTCACATAATTTATCAACAACCAACTTAGATTGTTCTTTATTTTGGTGGATTCCTTCTAATTCGACCCTCTTGATGGAGGTTTCCTTCAGCTGCAAATCTTTTATGCCAAGCATCTCATTCATGCTTAAATTTGGCATGCCCAACTGATGTCTGCCATCCACTCTTGTGGTCTTCTCTGGTGTTATTGGTGCAAATTGGAAAGAAAACACCTCGTCCAAGCTTTCTTCTGTCGTTATAGATGGCAAATTGAGGTCAAATATGGGCATTGAATGCGTACAATGTCCACCTGCAATACAAGTTCAAATTCGTATCAGTGCTAGGAGAAGGATAAACCATTTGCAGATATCGAAGCACAGCCATTCTTTAGTTTCTCGTAAGTATAAATTCAAATCTACCTGCTTTAATTCCTGCCAAGTTTTTAAACGCAAAAAATAAATACGATTTCTAAGATGCCCATGCAGTGTTATATAGATGTAAATCTCCACAGGAAAGCCGAGCAATATTGATGTTTGAGTATAAGCTAATAGTTGTTCTGTCACAAACTCAGTGTCTTCATTCTGGTTTTTTGCTATTTCACTGTATCGCTTCATATGTTACAGGCGAATATTGTAGGATTTCCTCACTCTATGGGCATTGGGAATCACCACAACAATAATTGAGATGCAACATGCCTCATACACAATAAAATTGATGGTCGAATTCTTGGCAAAAGCTTTCACGTAAGCTTTCCACATTGAAGTTATATCAGTTATACAGTTCAGAAAGCAATCTAGTGTTGCAGTCATAATTCAACATGTAGTAGTATAAAAGAGTATCTATAAAGAAAAGCTAGAATAGGGACACTCACCTGTGCTAATATTCGGCATGCTGTTGTTGCTCTCAACTGCAAAGTTGCCAAAGGAAGAATTTTCAGAAGTTGTTGTATACTGTCTACCATCAATCTTGGCACGAAAGTTCTGAACAAAAGAGCTGCTTGTTGGATTATAAGCAGTTTGAGAACTTGCATTTCCAGCAGCTGTGGTGCCAGCTGCATGCGCTCTAGCCAATAGTTCTCCAAAAGAAGCATTGCTCCACATGTCTTCATCACTAATAAACTTGTAAAAGCAGAAATCATCTTTATCGACTTGGAATCCTGCTACAGATGCTTCTTCAATGTCGAAACCCCCATGTATATTAACAGCAATTGTTGAATCACAACATCCTGCGATATACGGATCAGGAGGTTCTTGCATAAACCCCTCCGATACTCTTGTGAGATCAAATTCTGCCTGGCTTATCTGATTTACTAGGGAAAACTTTCGAGATTCTAGCCAGTTGGCTTGAAATGCCAGATTATCTTGCCATTCTGTGCAGATCGGCTGCTGTGTTGTTAGGCCGGGCTTTGCAGGGGTTGGGGGAACCCAAGAACAACCCATCTGGAAATCTTTTAATTCTGAAATTAAGCCTTGTTGTTTATCATCCATCCGGTAGTTGTTAAACCCAGTAAAAATCGTTTCTTTCCCATTTCCCCTCTTCCTATTTCCACTTCTTTTACCCTTGGAGTAATTCAGAGGAAAATCACTTTTCTGTAATTTCTCTTCACCTTTAACTTTATTTACTGACATCTTTCTGCAGATAAAAATAAGAAAGAGAAAAAATCAGCACAATCACAGACCTCAGGAACTGAAAAAATAAATTAGAACAAAATAGCAAAAGTTAGCTTAGAAATCTAAACAAGCAGCTTTAATTCTCTGCCAGATAAAAATGAGGGGAAAAAAACAATAGAACAAATATAAACCTCAGGAATTGGATAAATACGTATAGAAAAAAATAGCAAAACACATGACTAATCCTTCGAAATTAAAACAAGCAGCTCTAATCGACGGATCTCGTTAAAAAACAGCATGAAGATTCCTGAATTTTCATAAGTATAACAGGTACAAAATTACAGTAGAAAACTGAAATAACAGTATCTTCACTGAATTTTCACAGAATTTTTCCTTTTTTGAAAGCAAAAATGCTCTTGAAATATGCTCGAAATCAATAATTTTGATGAATTCAAGCATGCATTTGAATCAAACTCGCCTATGTTTAGGTCAAAATCTCGTGAAGCGGTGGATGGACGGCAAGAGAAAACTGAGAGCAGAATATTTCTTCATAGAAGAGATCAAAAGTAGGACAGTGAAATTACTGTGAACAGTGTATTTATCGTTGCCACGTAAACAACAAGCTTCTAAACGAAGATGCCACGTTTATTTTTTTTTCTTTCTTTATATCCCACACTTTGACGGTGCCGTTAACACGCCGTTGGTGGTCCCTGCACCAATAGCTTGGCTATAGATGGTTGTTGGAATAGTAATCTGTCTGCGTTGGCGCGAGAAACGACTATTTATTGTTCCGTTAATTTCACATGAATTTTTCATTCAAAAATTAATATAATCGTTATTTCGATTATTAATTCAAAAGTTAATATAACGAAGTTATGAATGTAAAATGTGATGATTACTCAATCATTATGTAAAAATTTATTTTTATTTAGAAAATGTATCTACTCTTTTCGAAGTCAACAAAATATATGAATTAAAATCTTATCAAAACTTGATTTGATAGTTATTAAAATTCAAATTTTAATTTAAATCAGAGATAATAATTAATTTTAACCATATATTTAATCATTGTTTGAGCCTATTTTTCAAAACTCATTTCAATCACAAATTCTTCAATAAAATAATATTACAAGTGAAGCGAAAATTGTTTCTCATTTTTTAATCACACATTGTACAAAAACACTATTTTTAAATGCATTTGTTCTCAAAAATGGAGCTCAAAGTCTAACAAGGGCTACTCATAGAGTTATAAATTCTTAACCGTATATTTCATCAACTTTTTATCAAAATCAAACCTGATTTTAATCATTATCAAACATGGGCTAAAATTTCAAATCAAAATCAATAATTATTTTAATCATATAATTTATGGAACTCACAATTTTTTAATATTTTATCAATTTTTTTTTAATCAAAATCTATTAAAAATCTAATTTTTAGCTATAACAAACATGGCTAAATAATAATATAATCATATTGCAACTTAAGTCCTCTTAGGCTCCATTATGAGAAAGATTTTTTTAGAATAAATTTTATAAGAATTTCTTTTTGAAAAAAAAATGTTTAGCTAAAAGTAGAAAAAATTTATTAGTCCATGTTTAAAATAATTTTATTGAAGAATATTGATTGAAAGTGAATTTGAAGAAAAAATTTAAAATATGAAAGTTAAGCAAGGCTCACTAAAGTATGAAATATTATATAACTACTTATGATACTTCGAAGTAATTGATGTTTTACATATTGTGTTATTATCAGATTTTATATTTATATTTATTGTATACAAGTAAAAGATATTTCTCTTAAGATATAGTTTACAAGTTACAAAATGAATGAGAAGAGATTTTTTTTTAAATATTTTTTCGAATTATAAATTTTACAAGCAGATCCGTAATTTTTTTCTACCTTTTCGGTTGTTTTAGAAAAATAATAATTATTCACACTTTATTATTTAAAAATATTAAATTAAATCGAATCTTTAATCGCTAGTCAAAGTTGAACGTGCATTGCATGTTATTTTAAAAAAAATTATAAGTAATGTAAAAGTAATATTTGATACCAATTTGTTGGAGGATTTGAAGAGTTCCGGACGAATTAAAAAAACTAAAACTTAGCATAGAAATCTAAAAGAAGAAATTTATACTCTCAAAATTCAATTTCTATGATTCAATTTTTTATAATGATAAAATACTATAATGAGCAATCTTTTTATATTACATTTGTTTCATAAAAATTAATTGTCAATACACAAATTTAAACACCCATTAAAAATTTTAAATACATTAATATGAATAAATTTATTTATAATAACTCTAAATTCATATAATTTAAGATTCATTGAGTGAAAATTCATTAAATCTATATTGATGTGAATGTTAATCAATTGAAAATTAATAACACAAATTTCATAAATAACGATAATTATGTAGTATTTATTACATATCGAAAAATGAAAAGTAAGATATTATTGAAATAATTGAATTGTAGAGAGATTAAAATCGTCCAAAATGATTCTCTCTTGATGTGATATTTTAATATATTACAGATAAGTGAAGATCAATTCCTTTTCTTATTTTTATTTTTTTTTGTAGTTCGATGTGATATTATTAATGAGTCATTTCCATGTACTTTTGTTGACTTCAAAGTCAAAAAAAATAATTAAATAATTACCACATATTTTTATAGTGAAAATATAAGGGACAATTGCAGTAGAAACTCCAAACCTCTAAAATATTAACAGACTTTTTCAAAATCTTTTATTTATTGCAGCCGTCACCCCCAATATTTCCAAACGTAGCATCTCAGGTCCTTTTGGACGATTTTCATTCAAAATTCCGTCAGTTGATCAGAAAAATGATTTTGACCACATTTTAACAATTTTTAAATGGGTAAAATGATAACTTTATATTAAACTCAGAAATAAAAATATATATATATAGAATTGGTTTTCTTCCCTAATCCACCTCAAATCCACCCCAAAGCCAAAACTAAATTAAACACATCAACTTTGCTCAATTTCTTTTGGTTTTGATTAGATTCAACGGCCAAATCAATACCAAATCCATTTATGAACGGAAAATCATCTTCAATATCACCAATGCAGGAGCCTAAAATGAGCCCTCTGATGCCTTTCTTGATAAGGCCTTCGTCAACCAAATCACGAAAAAGAATAGACAAAGTCTTGAAACAATTGATGTCCGAATTAGCATCGAACTCACAAAATCCATTGGTAGAATCTCTTCTTATACGGCCAAGGGAAAGCAATGCAATAAGAACCATTGCCAACAGCAATGATCTTGATATAATACGCAAAACCAGACAATCCAGGAGCTTAATAATCAAAAGGGTATCAAAATTGAATTCAATCCCAAATCCATTCACCTCATTGTTCATCTTGATTCGATTTCTAGCTCGATACTCACGAGTCATTCTATCCATATTTTGCTCACCAATTCTATTCTCTCTTTTTTTCTTTTTTCTTTTTCCTTTTTTGTTAAGTGTAAAGTTACCATTTTGCACCTTTAAAAATTGTTTAAAATGTGGTCAAAATCATTTTTTTGGTCAACTAACGAAATTTTGGATGAAAATCGTCCAAAATGGCCTAAAATGCAACGTTTGGAAAGGTTGGGGTGACGGTTGCAACAAATCAAATGTTTTGGGAAAGTTTGTTAATATTTCAAAGATTTGTAACTTCTATTGCAATTATCCCAAAATATAATGATATTTAATTATTGCCATATTTTCTATCCATAACATTAATGATAATTCCGTTTTTCATTCATATATCCATCGCACGCGACTTCAGGTATGACGAGGAATTATCATGCGACATAAACACGTGACTCGTACCTAATTACATCCGTTTGGCATGATCTCCTGCTTCTTGTAAAAAAATTTTTTTGAGTAAGATGCTTTAAAGGAAACTAATTTGTAAAATAAGTTTCTATTTTAAAAGAACTTTTAGAGATATTCGAATTTGGTCAGCGTTCTTTTTTTTTTTTTTTTTAACTCATCTAATTATAGGAAGTACTTTTATAAATAAACCAAACGAATTCAAGAGAAATTTTTCAATCTTAAAAAATTATTTTGACTTCTCAAAAATCACGCCAAACGAGCTTTAAGTTAATCTTATTGGTTTTTGTTGAGCGATTTTTCATGTTTGGAAGGACATACTAATGTCTTAAAGCTTTATTCGAAAATTCAAGCCTGGTTTAGGACATTGACGTGTCAATAAATTAGTTGGATAGAAATACATTTATGTTCTTATTTACGCATCTGGTATCGAAATGAAAGTTCTTCTAATAAGCAAATTAAAATATTGTGGGTTTAATTTGTTAAAAATCTTTGTCCAAATATTTAGAATTTCCTTTATTTATTCGCATTTTATTATGTTTGGACTTACGAGATGTAGCAACCGGATAAACAAGAAGTAAAGAGGCTATACAAACAAGGTCCGTACTTCGATTCATTCGGTCTCTTCACTTGTACCCTCTTAAGCTGTTGTGCGTTTGAGCAAAACCCTTGGACGCCTCGTTCGAATAGATGTCGTATTAATTGAGAATCTCTATCGGAGATCGTTTCGCGAAATTTCTCTTTTCTTAGCTCTAGAGGGAACTCTTAGGTCCCTTAGCAATGGTCACCCTCCTGCTGCAACACATTTTCGAAGTGGTTGGCATCCTCCATGATAAGCCTCTTCAAATGGTCTCGACTTAGAGGAGTCAGAGCATATTTAACTGATTGATGTGACATTTATGCGGAGTGCTGCTCGTCATAACTTTTCAAAATACTTTCATAGCCTAGCTAGGAGGCTGGTACAATGGATAGATTGTTGACAAGATCTTGCTTGACATGCTAATCTAGTATGAGGTCACTTGTCAAGCATACGACACATCCCAACTCTTTTATCTTGGTATATTTTTTCATACTTAGTGTCTTCCAAAAGTAATTTTAATTTGAACTCTCAAAACACAAAAAACGAAAACTTGACACCTATCTATTACTCCGTCCATTTCATGTCTCTCATAACCAATATCTTTGATTATCTGACTTGAGCATTGGAGCACCTGCGACCATCACACTCCCTGTCGGAGCTACGGTAACGTGCACTCTAAAGCTACTGGCCAAGTGTGCAGGTAATATACACATCGATGAGAGTAGAGCTACGGCTTCACCAAATTTCAATGTTACACATTTCATTTTTCTAGTAGGAAACTCAAAGGCAATGAAAGAGCTAGATCGAGAGAAAATTGTTGCTTGAGGACAATTTATTGATGCATTTCTGTTTGAGGAAATATTCAAATATGCAACCATACTCTAACCTACTTATTTGAAAATACTTGCATTATTATGCATATGGCCTTTTAGATTTACATTTATTCTCCGGTGACAATAATAGAAATTTGATTAAAATCCTTTGTAGACTAGAATCTATCAGTATATCAAGATCAATATGAGGTGAAGTAAAAGTAGAGCACCTTTATGTTTGGTGGATTTTTTTCTTCCTTTTCAAAAGATTATTTAAAAAGTAGGTATGTGTTAGTGTAGAAAAGTTTGGCAGCATAGAATTTGTCCACGTTGAATATAATTTGTGACGTACATTTCACTTGTGTTTCAACAATCAG